AGTGCTGCATGTGTGGGGGGCAACATGAGTCATGTTAAGGAGGGGAAGCACAGTCCTCCTCCTCCTCCTCCTCCCCCCTCCTGTCCTCAGTGGGTTTTTTTGAAATGAGGGACACAGCAGCAACACAACGCTCCGGGCAAAAAAGCTCCCTATTGTCACTGTGTTGAGGCGATAAGGTTTGTGTGCCACTCAGTAGCTGCTGTCAGCGTGTGTGCACAGGCATGCAGTCACACAGAGACACAGAGACACATAGACCTCCCTCTTTTTCTTCTTTGAAGTGTGAAAGAATCAGCTTGTGCAAACATACAGTCAGATTTGTTCAGTGTGAGACATGCTGTCAGTCTGAAGTGTCACTGTTTCTGTGTGTGTGTGTGTGTGTGTGTGTGTGTGTGTGTGTGTGTGTGTGCGCATGCTTACCGTCAACATCAGCTGTTTGAATCCTGCCACAAACACAAAAGCCACTGCAGACACAAACACACTAACAGCATTTTTCTGCCACAACCCAGTGCCTCACACTCCAACAAAAGAAAGTAAAAGGTTATCAGACTCAATACAATGTAAACAATACAACAATAAATAGAGCAGTTAAAATTAAAATTATAACAATAAATAAATAAACAAATAAATATGCTTGTCCTTTAACTTTCAGGTAGTTGACTGAATTTATCTGTTGATAAAATAAATTAAAAATGTTACTCTTCACATGACACATACAGCACAATGACATCAGTTTCACAAGAGTTTTCAACTATGGCCTCAGTTTCGCACAATGGTTGCTCCAGTCATATAATAGGTTTTGTCTCGTTTAAAAAATAATAACAAGCAATCAAGTTGGAAAAATGGTTCATGTCAGCCTCCTAGCTGGAGATATTGGTCATTTTTGATACCAACGATAACTCCCTCTTGAAAGAAACATGAGTGTCAAGAAATTGTTGGCAAAATGGCATCCAGTGAAAACTAGCTTGTGAGATAACGCCAAACTCTATAGTTCCCCCTTGTTGTTGTATAAATATTCTTATGATGAAGTCTTCCTCATAATTCAGTTTATGATGTGAATTTTACTCAGTTTGGTGTGGTTGAGTTTAAACCTTAAACCACTTACTTATGTACTCGATTACAAAATAAGTTATTGTATTGATTACAGTATGAATATTGATCACAGACTGTATGTAAAAATATTAATAGCACCAGGACATGTAGAAACACACACCCAGTAACGAATACAGAAACACTTTATACCTACAAGCCATGGAGCGTAAATAACCATAAACTAAAGTTCATTTTCAGACACACAGTCTGTTGGTAGATACAGCCCGCTGACATTTCGCTGAGAAGTCTGCGAAGAAGGCATTTTTTAGGTATTGTGTGGGTTTTACAGCAATAGTTTTTTGTGGGGGTAAAAATATTTAATCCTAAAAAAGACTGAATGAAAGCATTACAACCCTTCTACTTGCCTTTGTTGGGCACTGTTTGCTGGTAAAGGAAAGGTAATAAAGCACGTATTTTTACACTTAATTAATTATACATCTGATTCAAAAAAAAAAATATTTTTATTAAAAATGTATATATAGTGTGTTTTAATGGAGAAATATTTTCTGAATAGTTAAAATGAGCTCAAATTCCCATCAGCGTGAATGGATCAGTTAGGGTTATCTGCACCGGAAGCAGCCTCCTTTAAGCATATTTGCACTGATGGATATTGAAAGATAAAGACGGCCTTTTCCATGCAATCATTTTATCTTTAATTATGTGTTTTATTAATGGCACTTTTTATATGGAAATGTGATTATATTAACACTACATACAAATTGTAGGTTTATTTAAAGCTGCTCTGCTTTTAATTTGGCCCTTTTCCTCAAAGGGGGGAGTGTGGGGTGGGGGGGCGAAGTGGCTATTTGAATATCTTTGATGTTCCTTTCAGTGTGTCTTCCTGATGCAGATTCACAATCAGCTCTCTGCCTGTCTGTCGGCTTTCTGCAGGAGAGATAGCACTCTCTTCATTACGCGCTTCATTAATTTAAATTCTAATTGATTCTGCGAGGGCCTTTCAGACCGAGGGCCAAGTCCTGTCTTCCCCCATTGATTGTGTGTGTGTGTGTGTGTGTGTTTGTGCTTGTGTTAGTGTGTGTTTTGTGCACCTGCTGGATCCTGGAGTGACACGTCCTGACAGAACAGCCTCTCCTGCCTGTCTGTCTGCCTCAAGTGTGGCACTGATATGGTTTGAGTGCTTCAAGCCAGAGAGACAAGTACTAAAAAAAAACAAAAAAACACACACACACACACACACACACACACACACACAGAAGAAAGAAACAAAACACCAACAATCAGAGTCTGGGTAGTTTCGGGGCCTGAGTGTTGAAAATAAGCACAGAAAATGTGAATAACGGCAGTTGGCATACTGTGTAACAACTGGAGGAATAAAACAGTGGATGCAGGGGCAGTTAAATGATCCATACTCTGTTGCTAGGAGACACCAGGGCTGGATGGTGGAGATAAATGCTGGGATCCACCCCTGGCAGCAAGCAGAGGGTAGGAAAGAGTCTGTTTGGGGGGGGGGGGCAATGGGTAAGGAAAGGGAAACATGGGGGGAGGGGGTGAGTCATGTGACAGAGACATCCTCCTTCATGGTAGATGAGCTTTTCCTTTTCTCCCTCCATCACCCCCTTTTTTCCCCTCCTTCTTTCTCATCAGTTATTCACAAAAGTGAAAGTTGATCAGGGGCTTGTGTGATTTCCAACCTTCACACGTTCACTTTTACACCTTTTAACTCATTCAGCCACTTAAGAATGTGTCGTTATTTTTTTTTAAAACCTGATGCCTTGAATCTGCGTCATTAAAAACAAAATACTCAAACAAAAACATAAAAATCCAGAATCTGTGATAATGTAAATTTTCATAACTGCTGGACACAAGATGAATCTTAATTCACTGAAAAGTCGATTCTTCTTAGTGTTTGTTTGGTGGAGGTTTAAAGTTTCCACAACATACTTGAACTTGAAGTTATATATTGAACCATGATTGGTGAAGCGAAACAAAATGGCAATTCAGACTGAATATCGGGTTAATACAGTGAACAAACACTAAATATATTCATTTACTTTAATCAACTTACTTCATCAATGAAAGAATGAGTTACTGGAAAAACACCAGGAAAAGCTGTGATGTTTTTGAAAATACACTGTATGTATTTATATAAATACATGTGTATGGATACATACATGATTTATTTATTCATGTTCATAAATTGCACCTGAACCCCTGAAGTAGCATTAGCATTAGTTTGGATCTGTCATATTCTTTTCTTTTGTTTTTTTTTTTGTTTGATTTTGCTTCGTTCTGTGAGTTTGTTTTACACAATAAGGAATTGATCACAAAAAAAGGTGTTTACCAAAAATCAAAGTTGAGCTTAAAAATATCAGAATTACCTTCAAGAATCGACCATGTGTAAAATTACTGTAATTAGTCCTCCTCAGCTCATTAAAGCCCCCACATTACCAGAGACAACACAGTTATGGCCCTGACTCAGTTATACTTTGACAGGAGTAAATCATACCCAGTTTGAACTGGTCATCAAGCCTCTGAGTGATCACTTCAGTACAGTCCTGTAAGTCTGTTAAATTAATAGCACACACACACCCCCACACCCCGTTTCCTGCCTCACTTGAACACATCATTAGCAGCAGAAATTATAGTCTAAATTTTTATGTGAAACTTTACTTTTGTATAAAGTGTCTCATCAGTGGTGAGCCTCTATATCTGGAGCCAGGAGGGAAGCCATGGCTGCCACCATGTAAGCACAGGAAAGAGCTTCATTTCACAACGTCATCCCTCATCAATCCGGTCGACTCCGGTCAGCCTGACACAAAAAGACAAAAGGAGGAGAGGAGTGCTTCCTCCATCAAATGTGAGGGAAGTGGTGAGCTCTGAGTGCACGTCGTGATTAGCTGTGAATGGGACGCAGCGGTCTGATTGGTGGAGAGAGCCGGGGGTCAGGCGTTCTGCCAGCAGCTCATACAAGGCTGCTGATTGCTATTCATCCTCTGATTACAGTAATTTAGACCTGCAGCAGGCCAAAGGGGCCTGCGTCTGGCAGGGTGGATGCTGCTGCTGCTCTGTCTGGGCGGTGCAGTTCGGTTTGCTTAGGGATTTTTTTGTTGTCAGAAATGAGTGAATGAGGCTGGAAAAGGAACCAAACACAGTGTTTACTCAGAAAGGCATGTGAGTGGTTCATGTTCTCTGAACTGAAAGTCTGAGAGGTATGATGAAGGTGAAAGTGCTGACAAAAACACAAATATCTGCTTTTATAGACGGAGAATATTTGGAGGCCATTCCGGAAACGATGCTGAAGATGATCAATAAAATAATTACTTCTTAAAAAAAATTACCTCTTTAAGTAAAGATACTGATCCATCCCATCACAAATCATTTTGTAATTCTATATTCAAACAAAAAATAAAAAAGAATATCAAATTTTGGATTTTAATGCTTAATTTACAACTATAATTAATTCCCCACATGGAGCATCTCCAAAAATATAAAATCCATATCTCCAAACTCTCATTTTGTGAAATAACAAAAAGCAATGAATGTAATGTGATACATCAGTTTTAGTTCCTTTTGTCTTCCCTGTCGCCCGTTTGGACCCGCTGGAACCTTGAATAATCGAAGCTGATGAGGCAGTTAGTTGCGAATGGTTTTTCGAGGAGCATGGCGATGATTAATCAAAGAACTGAGCAGCAGTGGCCTCTCCACCCACACTCATTACAAGGTTAATCTCTCCATTGATTATTTCTGCACAATAAACCAATACTTCACTACAGATTTTCTCTGTTTTCACAAATGTGTGTATGTTCGCTTCCTTCTGTGGATGCATAAATGTGGTGGGAAGCAGGAGCAGATACAACTGTAGATGTGATGAATGATGCTCTTGTTGATACCATCTTTCCACCACACCCATTACCCCATATTGAAAAAAATAAATCATGTTTAGCACAACATTAGATTCACATTTATTGACATAAAAAAAGAACATTTGTTTTCTCTCTACAGCAAAGCCTAAGGTATTTTCACAGAAGTATTAAAAACAACGACTTGTGTAAAGGGCATAAATATACATTCTGATGTCTGCTGACTGACGTCTAAACTCTTCACCACAATAAAAGTTGGACGCTGTTGAAGACAATAAGCGGTCCACAGCCACACCTTGATCAAGACAAGGGACAAGTGTCCCTCATAAATGTCCATCATTTAGTCTTGGGTAATTACGTATATAGATAACACTGTTTCAGAGATATCTACCCCCTCTCTCACACACAAACACATTCACATATATACAAACACAAACAGTCAACAGTAAACTGGTGTAGTGTGTGAACTCGCGGCCCCTGTTTTGGTTTGTCCGTGTGTGTGTGTGTCATGTGTGTTTAGACAATACGTGTCCATGTGCTCTACTCCTCGGGGTGTTTGGACTCACACTGCTTGCCCTCTGGGATGCTGCTTCAGAGGTGACCTAGTTCTCCTGATTGTCAGCAGAAGGCAGTTTCATCAGCTCGCTTTGTGCCGGGGCACTGAACTGTGCCTGGGACCCTGGGACAGGCCAATTGGACTTGTGTAATGAAGCTCATCACACACATGCACACACACACACACACACACACACACACACACACACACACACACACATGCACACTCCTGCTGCTGTCGTCAGGTCCAGGACCGCAGAATTTATAACAGCCATTTATTACCGTCTCCTTTATCAAAGAAATGTGATTCTTCGGTGCGTTTCAGATGCTTGCACCACACTGCCATTATAGTCCATTATGGGGAGGTGACAGAGATGGAGCAGAGGGTGTTGATAGATGTTGGTGCCGGGCCGGCTGTCATTACTCCGTCTATCGAGTGGAGTGTGTGCGAGATACTTCCCACAAAATGGCCGCGGAGCACCAACATGGCTGCGATTGCGAGGAGTAAATGATTCACATCTGACGATCGGTACAAAATGTTAAACACATTCATTTGCTGCTTGCGTGTGTTTGGAATAACTTAACTGGCTTTGAGTAGCAGCACGATCACAACAAACCGTCATACTGCGGTGATTTTAGTGCCTCTTCACAGCAGAGTGCATGACTGAGCAATATCTACACAGGAAATCTATCTTACTGTACTGTTCAGGAGAAGCAGATGTAAAGAGATCCATCGGGGAAAAAAAAACAACAACTGAGCATGAAGATATATGTACAAGAACACTGCAAATTCCCACACTGAGTATGGGCGACTTAACACAACATACTGTTACACTTAGTGCAGCAAGTCCACATTTATCCTAAAGTCTCTCTAGCCTACAGAATACTCATCAAATACAGAAGCAACAATGGCATTACATTCATATAAATAATAATAATCCCAGTATACCCAAGGAGTCACTTCAGCACTTTTGGCTCCATTCATGTTTTTAAAAATGAAAACTGAAGACCAGCTTCACTGTGTGTCCTTAACAACTCCCTTTAGAGGTACAATAACTGTCCTTGAGGTTGTGACACCAAATCCCTTGGTATCAAAAAAAAAAACAGAAAGTCTCTTTGAGGACTGTTCTGTACAGGTCAGGGGTCCTTGGAAGTCCATGGATTTTTTTTATTTTTTTTATAAGGCCCAGGAGATCGCAGGGTTTCACAGATAAAGGGGATATCAGTTCACCGGGGTCTCTTTCCCTCTTTGAATGGCACAGACGATGAAAGGAGTCGATACAGAGGAATCTTCCGCCTTTGTTTACTTTGTGATCAAAATGTCTGCACTGCAGAGTGGACATGCCAGCAGGAGAGGGAGAGAAAGCGCGAGCGAGAAAGATCAGCCAGTTGATTAGTTGATTGATCAGTCAGTAATTGTCCCCACCAGTAAGTAAGTCCCCGCTCCATTTCCAGGTTGACTTCATTTCCATTAGCTTTTGGGTTTCAATGTATTTTCTCTCACTGCTGTTTTTATTATTAGTAGTAATTCATAGAAACTGGGATGCAGAGGTTTTCTGTCCATATTCTAGGCTGGGTTGGGACGGGTTTCTACTCCAGTCAGTGTGTATACAGTCGGCTGTCTCCAGTAAATTAATTTCTTTGATGTTAAAGCAAGAAAACTGGTTTCTGTAATCAGGGTAGCAGATTAATTAAACCTGATTAGAAATCTCCTAGAGAACGCAGATTGTTCTGCCATGTATACACGTAACCAAGTTTCTAACTGGCTTTTTATAAACACATGTGCAGGACAAAGTGCTGCAGACAGGGAAAGTGAAAGCTGAGACCATTACACGGAGTTATGTGTAAAGTCCAACTAATTTTTGAAAATGATATTTTCCTCTAGAAGTCTAAATAAGCAGGTTTCCACTGTTGAGCATTTGACTCCTAAATTCAGAGACAGTCTGTTCGTGTGTTTCGATCACAAAATCTCGACAGCTGTTGTTTCCAAAGACGAGAATGAAAAATAAATTCTGTTTTCTTCTGTATAAAATAACATGTTTAACATTTACCGACTGGTGCAGAATTAGAAACCAATTTAGCAAAGAATATGCACAGAAAACTCCTGTATGATGTTTCACCTTTTCTAAAAACGGCTCATGAATGAAACCCGCAGTAGGAAAAAACACACTGTCTGACTGACCGGAGAAAATGGAAGGGGCTCTCTATAGCCAGAGGTGCTCTGCATCCCCATCTGCTCACTAATGGTTGGACATGATTGTTTGAGAGGAAAAGATGGTGAACCCAACTGCCCAGCCGCTCTCCGTCCTCTCTTTTCTATGCAGCAGGTTCTCTGTCGGAAATAATGAGTCACGTCAGCAACTTTTTGCTTTCAGCGTCGTAGCCCGGAGAGAAATGATGGAGTTAAGGGAGAAGAAGATGGAGAGAGCTAGAGGAGAAAGAGAAAGAGCGCAGTGTGTGTTCATCTGATCATAGGCAGTTTTTAGGCTCTGCTCCTGGCAGATTCTCCATTTTTTGTGTTTCTGCTTCCTCCATCTGTCTCCCTCTCCCATGTCGCTCGAAGGTTAAACAGGACAGGAAGTGGAGAGAGGGCTGTCTGGATTTGATCTTTTTTTAGGCTCTGCTTTTGTCATCTTCAGCAACCTGTTCCCAGATCTGTCCATCCTTCAATCCGTCCACAGCCCCCATGTCACAGCCCTCTGCTTGCGTTGGGTTTCAGCTTGATGACCCACTCCCCTCCAGGGTTACTGTTGTACAAATCCAGGAGATGTGTGTCGGGATCCAGACAGTGCTCACCTGCAAACACACACAAAAAAATTGACTTAAAGCTCTAGTGGTTGGAATTGTTTACTGGTGAGCTATAAAAAGTTTAGGGTTGATTTTATGTATCAATCAGAGTTGCAATTAACATTTATTTTCACTATCAGTTAATCTGCTGATTAGTTTCTTGGTTAGTTGATTATTTGACGTCTTCAAATGTCTAGTTTTCAATCATCAGTCCAATACCGCAAAATATTCAAGTTTACAATTACATAAAACGGACAGAAGCAGCAAATATTCACAATTGTGAATCTGTAACTACGGATTTAAATACCGATTTAAACCAATTATCAAAATAGTTTCTGGGAATTACCTGTTTGTTTCAGCTGTAGTATCAATCCAGGATTTGTGTTTGTATCAATGCAATTTGCATAAGTCAGTAATCTAGGTGCTAATGTGCAGATTCAAAAGTTTTCCATCACAAAGTTGAAGTGAACAAGTTTCACCGTTCACTGTGTCAGCTCTCCTGTGAGAGCACAGACACGTGTGTAATAAGCATTTGTCTGCTCTGATAACTGCAGACGCACTGCTCGTCTCTTTGGCGCTCACACAGTTCATTACATAAGACCTTCCTATCCTCATCAGTTCAATGAACAGAAAGACACGCAAATGTCAGCGCTGCAGTGCAGCCGCTTCCACTTACCAATATTCCCTCCCACTTCGTACAGGGCACAGTCTGGATACGCCACAGCGCCGTTTCTGCTGAGAGACATACAACACACATGTATCATCGTCTGTTTTTCCATAAAGGAGATATAACACACACATAATATTTTATTCTTAGAGGTAAAATCCATCAGGTGACAAACCGACACTGTTACTTGACAAAAAGTTTAAACTAGACAGCTACGCACATTGAAGTTACCAGCTGACATCAGACTTTTGCTTGAGTAGATTGAAATCATTTGTTTTGTTTTTTTTTGAAAATGAAGCGTAATGATTTTTTTCCTGTTCCATCCCACATCATCTTGTTGGTTTTATATTTCTCAGGATACATCCATTTATTGTTCTTGGGTTTCATGTTAAAGGCATCTTTGCGTTTTCATATACAGTATGTGCTATGCCTTTTTCGAAGTCAGATTCAAACTAGTCTCTAGTCATAATCTGCTAACTTTACTTTGTACATTTAAATGAAATCTTAGCCTTGGTACTTATTTGTTTAAACACATTAAAATGAATTAAACTCCTGACTGAATACAAAAAGTGCACACAGCATTAAAATGAATAGAAGGCTGAGGTTAGCATGTATTCTTTGAAACTCTGTGATATAGTACCTTCGCATTTTGCCCTTTCCATTTTCAGGGCTGCGGAGGAACTGGCGGTGAAACTGGGCGAGCAGGTCTGAGGTTCGTGAGTTGATGTTGAGCTGGAACTCCATGGTGCCGCTCAGCAGATCCCCGACCTGGACCTTCACCGTACGGCACGGCTTCAGAAACAAACAAGGGAAGAGTAGTATGTTTTTAAGTGTGTACTGTGGCTCTTATTCTGACTCCACTGTGGCAATTACCCAGTATTTGCTTTTCACGGATCAACATTTGTATTTGTTCCACGGACAAAATGACCACATGAATTGAGATTTGATGTGGTAATTTACACTGAATCTTGTATCGGTTCCACAGTTGCTTTTGCCCAGAGGTCCAGTCAGCAGAGTGTATAGAGCAGTGCTCACCTCTGAGGTGTTTTTATCAGGTTTTTCCCGGCTGTCTGTGTGGATCTTCCTCAGCAGGTTCTTGATGCGGCGATCGTAGAACTGGTAACGCCGGTTACTGTTCTCATTCAGCTTACGCACCTGGCCCATGAGGAAATTGGGGATCTGAAAAAAAAATTGGTTATGGTTATATTTTTATGCAACAAATGTGTGTGCATTTTGATTACAGTTTGACAAAAATTCTTACTTTTTTATGGAACTTTCAGCTAGAAAAGCAGAATAAAGGGAACCTTGTGATAAGAATTTTTTTTGTCAAACTGTTCTTTCTTTAAGTCGGGGATGTTTCAAGCTCAATTAAAGCTTTGGCTGATATTTCATTCCCCAACTGGCATATCAAATGACAAGTTTTAAAAAAAAGTACATATAGAAAAGCCTCTAAATAATTGAACTATTGGATTTTTGTTGTTTCTTGTTGTCTGACCCTCCATCACCTACCGTCCAAAGCAGGTCCTGGTAGCGGATGAGGAGCCTCATAACATCAGCTGCCTTCTCCGCCTGTCCTTTCTCTGCCCCCTCTGTCAGTCTGCTGGGGATGGCCTTATGGAGGAAGAGGTTGGGAGCCATGATGGTCGCTACGGCCCACAGATTCATCCTGTTCCTCTTCTCTCTGGAAACCACCTTACTGAGGAACTCGAGGAGGGCCTGCAGGACACACAAATGGAGACACGGATAGTTTGTATAGAGTTAAAAGACATTCTCTCACTTTCAACTCAGTGATGTGTAAATGTCTTTCAAAAGAGAGAGAGGCCACTTAAACACAAGCACAAAATGGAGTAAAATGAATTATCACGATGACTGAATCATCTGTAACACCTCTGCTGAGAAGTATGTTAATGCACAGTAAGTTTCAGCTGCCTCCACCGGAGTCAAAGTAATTAGTTCAGGTGGGTTTTATGCTTCTGGATGCTATAAGCGGAGATGACTGCACACTTGTGTCAGTGAAAGTGAGTCATGGTTATTATATAACAGAGCAGAGTGTTTAAACTGTGGATTAAGAGCAGCACAATATAGTGTATATGCGCATATGTGTTATGAAACAGTGCTTTGGTCTGTCATATTTCACGAAGGCTTAAACTGGGATCAATTCCTGACAACCCTAGGAAGAGTCTGAAGGGTGTGGTGAGGAATCCTAAACGCAGCTTTACAGCAGAGGTTGTTGTTCAAAAACCCCATTTAACATTTTCATAATCATTTATGGATTTTGTAAAATTCCTGTAGTGTTTTTAAACTTCACCATGAAATATTTTTTCTCCAAAATTTGTCAAGGACACAGTCACATCCTTTACTTCAGTAAAAGTAGCAAACACCAAAAAATAATCAGTTGCATGTTAAGTTACATTAAGATATTAGTTCAGAAACAGCACGTATTAAGTATTACCTAAAGTACCAAAAGTAAAAATGTCCCCTGCTAGTGTTATAATATCATAAAATGTATTATTTGGTTATTAATACTGATGTATTAATGCACAAGGAACATTCTGATTTACATGCATTCAGTCATGGTGGAGCTCATTTTAAATATTTATAATTTGCTACGTACTTTAATTTACAACAATGAATTATATTCAAAAAAGCTCATTGTCTGTTTTGTGTATAAAATCTAAATTCATACAGTAACTACTACTAACGCTATAGCTGTCCAATAAATATAGTGGGCAAAAAAAACCAATGTTTCTTTAAACCAGAAACATTTCATGTTTAAATGATGTTTTACAAATCAGGCGACTGCGAGAAACCAAAGAGTCTGATTACTGAGTGCATGAAAACACAGTGGTTGAGATCATATAAGAAGAGAGCAACGGTAGATGTTCAGTCGATTCCAAATGTGTTGTTTAAGTGTGTGTGTCTGTGTGTGTGTGTTTTCTGTACCTTGAGTGTGTTCCTGTTGGGTTCAGGCAGCAGCAGGATGAGCAGGTTCAACATGTGGAGTTTCTGCTTCAGCTCTGTGATGTCTGACGGAGGAGGGAGGAGCAAAGGTAAGACAGGTCACACCCAACACACACACACACACACACACACACCCTCTTCATTTCCTCTGTGTTTGGCTAAGAGTAATGGGATGTCTAAAGATTAATGGCATTGTGACAGGTGGTCATTAAGTTTGTTAGTTTATGTCTCAGTGGTCACACGTCATTTATCAAATTGCACTGAGTCTCCTCACAAACTACACATCAGTGAGTCATCAATCAGATTATATTAATATCAATCCATTGTTTTATTAAGGTGAAACTAATGAGAGAACAGCTGATCTTTCATTCCTCTCTGACACTGTGTGTGTATTTGTGGCAGTGTAGAGAGGCTTCTTAAAAGTCTATGAACTTGTTCATGTTGATGTTGACTTCTGAGCCGAAGCAGAAAAGACAAGCGTCACGCTGTGCTGCCATCATGGTAAGGAGACTCAGGTAGTTATCATGTGAACCCTGCTGAGCTGTCTGGAAAAGTGGGCTGCAGACTGTGAATATGCAACTTGCCTGATATGGAAACACACACACAACACAGGCAGTCACTTCAGCAACACACCCATCTACATACTGATGTACTGTGTGATCAATCACAGGTCTGGAAGAGCTTTAATTCAAACAGACATTTGTTCTGTGTCTCTGGATAACAGCTTCAAATGACTAAAATATAATGGTTGTGTAAATGTGATGCAACACTTTATACATTTCATTCAGTCCTTGCACAGTATAAATCTAAAAAGCACTACATTTACATTTGGGAAGTGGAGCTACAGCTGCTGGTGTTAAAAGCTGAGGGTAAAACCAGCACAAATCTTCAACTTGTGTCCACTGACCTCTGACGGCGCTGAAGGTGTTGAGGTACTCAGCGGTGAGCAAAGGAGCGGGAAGCTCCCGGATGAACTTCTTCAGCAGTGCAGCAGCATCGTTTGGACTCACTTCATCCCAGCTGACCTGCCCTGAGTAGAAGTTGGTCTCCAGATTCTGCTGCAGCATCTGCAGACAGAAAACAATGTTAAAAATGATCGCTATTAGCAAATTTACAGTTCTTAATTATTTTATGGTTGCTTAATTCTAAAAATGTCTATTTATTAAGACAGTAAAAAATCTCATCTTGAGGGTAAGTCATCACTGATGAGAGACAGCTTATGTGAATCTCTATGTCACATTCAGTCTTTGATTGGAGAGTTGTTTGTTACTCACAAAGATGATATGGCTTTGGAGCAGCTACATAAAAACATAACTGCAGGTCATAACTAACTAGCTGGCAAAGCCATTAGTCTCTATTTGTGCCTCAAGCGTATGTAAGACTATGTAAGCACATTTGGTACCTATGTTGGTTATAAAATTGTGTTACCTGTTATTTATTCTTATCATTTTACTCATCTAGGAACGTACAATAAAAACTAGCTTAGCCTATAAATGCTGTGGTATGTGGCACTGGTTCATGTTGTATTCTGTACTTGTTCCTGTAAAATCACATTAAATACACAATAATATTGTAATACTTTGGTTCACTATCAACACTATAAACTAAAGATAAAATAAGAAATTTGGTCAATTCTGTCACATCTATGATCCATTAGCAATTACATGATTGATGAAAGCACACTGATGTAAGAACAATTTGTCTTACATGTTTTTATCCCTCAGTGCTAAATGGCGCCCTCTTCTGGTAGTTTGGATGTAATAGCATCACCATCTACTGAACGTGTGGTGAATTAAATACAGTATCATAACGGGTATCTGGCAGCAGCAGTTGAAAAAACCTTATTGATTTTGTCTTATTGGACCTTGTATTTCTAAATGTCACCTGTAGTTAAACTCAGTACTCTGGCTGATTTTTCTCTCTGCTATTGCAGCACTTTTGACATTTCACAGTGTCAATATTTTACCTGCTCTTTAGGTCGTGAAACATTTTTTCTTTGCTTTGCTTTAAACATCAGACAGAAAAAAGGGCAAATTTTGTGATAAAATAATCTGGCGCCAGTGTTGTGTAAGAGACATAAGTGTAGATCCAGATTTTGTACCTTAATTCTGGACTGAGACCCTGGAACCCGCAGGATCCCCTCCGAATCAACTCCTTTCTTTTCCAAAAACGACAACAACTGCAGAGAGAGAGAGAGTGAGAGAGAGGCGAGAGAGAGACATTAGCAGAGAGTCAGGCACGGCTGGATAAGAATCTCTTGCTCACCTCTGCTGGTTATTCTCAGTAACTGCTGCTACATACAGGGTGTGGTCAAAGCATTTCACATTGAGAGGACAATGACATCGTGTTATGTGCTCTATCTGACGATGTGAACTTAACAAAGGCAAAAAGAAAACCTCTCATTTTACGTCACACCAGAGGTGAAAGCAGATGTAATAAAAGAGTTTTTGCATTGTTCTAACTTCTTCATACACTTAGTTTATTAATTGTAAGTTAAGAAAAAAAGGTCTGTTGACGTCGTATGTATTTTGGTCTCTCACCGCCTGCAGGAAGAGAGGAGTCGCAGTGGTGGGCTTCATTTTCTGATCGTTCTCCATCAGCGTGGCCAGCTGCACCCCAAAGAGCGTGCTCTCTGTGAAAGACCCGAGTGTCATTCAGTTGTTCATCAGCCAAAACAGCATCGTGCATGTGTGAACACGTTCATACTGCCAAGTTATTGCTAGTGTAATTGTCTGTAGGTGAGTGTTCCTACATATAGTAATTGCAGTGTGTCAAACTATGGCTGCAAACCAAAAACTGCAAGGATTATTTATGAATTATACATCCCTAAAGAGAAACAGGTGCTATATAAAATATTTAGCAAAGAGGCTGGAGCAACATGCTCAGTTTGTAAGTCTTCTTGAAACCAATATAATGAGTAACTAATCAACAGTATCTGTAGACCCACTGCAGTTCAGTTCTGGTTTGAGTCATTGTTTTGATATGATTTGAGTGGCTCACACTCAGAGACAAAGTATGACAATCACAGACACAAGATAAACATTGCACATAGTTAAAATGTTATTGTCTAAAAAAAAAAAAAAGAAAAAAAAAACACTAGCCGTCTGTTTCCGTGTACATGTTTTTCTTTCTTGTGTGCACATGCCGCTGAATGTCGTCATACCTGGGATTTTCCTCTTGCAGGTTTTGTGTCTTTTGACCTCGAGCTCTAAGAGGTCGCACAGCGCCGTCATGTCGATGAGAGCCAACTGACGCACCTTCTTCATGTCAGTGTGGGAGAGATCTTGGATACGAGTCACTCCTAGACGGCACTTGGGGCAGATCACCCGCTGAGGAGGTGAGAGTGGATGGAGAGAAAAAGTGAGAAGAGGGGAATTGGAGTTGAGAGGAGGAAAGAGGAGATGAAGTGGTAAAGAAAAACAAAAAATATTTGAACCAAAAAAAAAAAAAAAAATAGAAGAGGTAGTAGGCAGAGGTGAGTGGGGTAGAGGAAAAAGGATGGCGACATTCAAATTCCAATGTATGTACTGTACATACCATAAGTTTATATCATTCCCTTGCTTAGTACTCCATGAAGTCTCTTCAAGTAAATGTGGTAACTGTATCAATACATATACAGTTAACACATTTAAAAACCCACTAATTCTTCCCTTTAGCTGAAGAAACATATTCAGCCTGACATAAGAAAGTAAATCTGATGTGACACAACAACTCTCCTTTTGTTTTGAGCTAATTCCTTCATTCCTTTACTCTGGTTAACCCTGTTATCAAACCAACAGTGGTGCTGAATACAACTGGCTTGCAATAACATGTGTGAGTGTGAGTAATTTGAACTCAGCCTGACCCAAAATCCAAAACACTTTGGTCCAAACACAGACTGAAATGTACAGGGACTTCCATGTATATGTATTGTATTGTCTCAAGCCCTAAAGCCATGAATGACTAAGATTGATTTTCCCTTATCAGTTGCAACTACTTTTATTTTTCACAGAAGCCTATCATAATCAGAACCACCATCATAATCAGATAATAATCAAAACCACAAACACAGAAAACATTTTTAAAATAACTGTAGGTTGGTTGAAAATGAAGCAAAGTGAAAGTGTAAGACCCTGAGGTTGTATCTAAGACATTTAAAGTATGTGGAAACCAGAAGCTTTGGATGCAGCTTGAGCTGCAGAGCAAAAGGTGAAGATGAACACACATCAGAAAAAAGTGTTTAAGGTAGTTCTGACATTAAAAAAACTTTTTAGTTTTGCATTTCATATCTTTAAAGGATTTAAATTAAATTCAAAAACTCAGTTCTCACCTTGTACATACTTTTAATCTTAACTTTGTTATGACTTTTACGGACAGTAACTGGAAACCCCTTTTACTAAAGATGAATTTCCATCCTGATACACAAGTCAAACTTTTAATAGGGGTTATTATTCATCATGAATGTCCACTGCCTTTTTTCAAAACTATGTGGTTCTTATTTCCTCTTCATCTGTAAACAAGTGTACTTTCACACCCACCAAATGACATAAACGTAGGAAATAGAAGCACTGAAAAATATTTCCCTTTTATGCCCCACTTGCAAAACTTCTCTTCCCACTACATGATGTCACTGGAACATTTACAAAGTTCCTCATTTGAAAGAACATTTTAAAATGTGTTTGGGTGCTTACAGGCAGAGTGCCGTCCTCTTTCCTGCGTTGGCTGTTGTTCTGCGGCAGTTTGGCCTGTTTGAGGAAGATGACAGCTTGTTCGCAGTAAGCCACATCGGTGATGAAGAATTCCTCTTTCGGAGCACCACGCTGATGCTCTGGTGTCACAGCTGAGCAGGAAACACACCCATAAATACACACAAACACGCACAGATACACCAATGTTTTAGTTCATTTAAGGAAGTCCACTATAGAGATGTCGTTAAGATAAAATTTGAATGCATGCTACATGAGGGAGCAAGAGGAGGAAACACAACAAAAAGGTCGACAAATATGAGGAAATGTTTGTACCCACACACTCGCTTTATCTCTTATCTACCTCTTATTTCCCAAAACAGAGGAACAAAAAAAATCGTAAAAAAATATTTGGCAGAAGTGTCTGCTGGGGCACTTTTACCTGTTGAGCAATACTACAATTGTCACTATTTATTGTGGCAAAATTGATCCGTAGCATCCCTTTTGATTTTAGTTATGTTATCATCATATATGTCATTATATAGAACACTATCTGAGATGTTTATAAGGTTCACGTCTCCAGATTTGAACCTGTTGTATGTTTTCACTCTTAAAGTATCGGCAGTGGACATTACAAAATCAGGCACGAGGCCCTTTCTGAAAGGACTGTTTTCCATGCTAATTTTTTCTCAGTACGAAACACTGAGATTTGTCAAGTGACCTCAGCACGGTGTGGACGGGGACTTTCTCCAGTGGCAGTGTGTAAAGACCAGGAGTTACCTGGGGATTAATCTGAACCAATTAAAAGATCCAGACAGACAATCCCTCAAAGCTGCTGCTCACCCGACTTCTTCAGGAAAGTTTATTTTTAAAGATAAGGCAGTTGATGTGTAGTTAAGCCTATGAGTAATTTGTAAGATGACACAGCCATGGAAGTTCCCAGTTACTTTATTCAGATGTAGTAGGCCTGGTCATGGGCTAAAGTCCTTAAGTCCTTCCAGACTCAATCTGATTATCAAAATAACTGCAGCTGTTGCTTTTAGCACTTTTAAAGAGCTACATACTTGCTCTTGAATGCCTATGAGTGTACTTTTACTTCTGTGTTATTCCCTTTAGTAACTTTCTAGTTTTAAATTTGGCTTACTTTAAGTATATTGTGTAGCTCTTACCTGATAGAGGTGTTTTGGCAACTGAAGCCATGCTGTTTTGGCCAAGGTCTTCACTATGCTGAGACTCAGGCAGAAGGGTCTGGTGAGCGAGAAACATTGACACAAATACAACACTTTCTGTAAATTAAAAAAAAAACATCAGCCCTGTCATATTTTCTCCATCACTGGGAATAGGAGTAGGGTTTCATTTTGTCCATGGAGCAGATGAACATGGATACAAAGAGTGTTTCTTTTGATAAAGGACTGATATAGATCAGAAAAACACTGTCCCTATTCCCCTCTCAGGGCTTCTCAGGCAGACAGGGAGGACAAAGCATGGCCTTTACATGTGATTTTCCTTTATTGTCACAGGTCAACCCCTCTGCATAGAACAAGACAGCACAATTCACTGGAATGATTTGAGGTCTCTCGCTGAGTCCTGACAGTCCCCATGGGTATTTTATATTTTATTGCATTTTATTACAGCTGTGAGCCAGACGCGCTCTCTGTTGCTGTAAACTTGTATAACAGTAATACTGCAACTTCAAACCCTCGAAACTGATGAATTTGTGTGTATCCAGGAAAGTCAAGTCTGTGTATGTACAATACATATACAATTTTTAATGTGTATACTGTATGTATGCATATTACTCTGCATTATGAACTGCATTTACAAGTCCCTCTTAAATTTCCTTCTTAATTTAACTTTCATTTGTAGATCATTTGAAAACATGGAAAGCTAGCCTTTTTTTTCCTTTTATTGGTTTTTCTGGCTTTTCCTCCTCCACCAGGATGTCTGAGTTTGTTTCCTCCCTCACACTGGCAGGGATTCTGGGATTCAAATAGTTAACAAAGTATTTCAAAGTCCTAACCTGAGTGATGGGGGAGTTGAAGATGTCGCGAACGTCGCGCGGCGCCGGTTTGTTCCTCTTGCGGAGGGACAGCGTATAGGAATCCAGTCGACGCTGGACGGCCTCGGCCTGGGTCCGAGTCAGAGTGGACAGCAGCACCACGTTTTCTACATCTCCACTGTCCTCGCTGATGAGGGTCGACAAACCAGCATCAGCCAACCACTGCTCCTCCTGTTCACCCTCTAAAAGACACACAGACAACAGGCATGAATAGATCCAAACAGGCCACATGTAAATATACTGTACATTGACAACAGCAAAATACTGAATGTTACAACACTAAAGTAAATTTTTGATGTAATATAACGAATGCACCAGCTATCCCATTACTAAACTTACACATAAAGTCCCTTCTCAGTCTGTAGCCACTATTACTGATTTTCAGTCATTTACTTATTTAAAACTTAAGAATTATCTTAGCTAGTGAAGACTTTAGTCAGCTGCTAAGAAACTTGTGCTTAGGGTCATTTGGCAAAACATTATTGGAACATTTTGTAATTTGAGGTGTGTTTATTATGTGTGTGTGATTTTTGTGAAATGTAATTTACAGTTTACAGTATAAAGTATAATTTTATCAATTGTCAGATATGTCGACCATATTCCAATTCATCTCTGTTACTCTTCACTCTAAATATATTGGGAAGCTAATGCTAGCTTTGTCAGTCAGTTCAGGTAGCTATCAAACAGTTACACCTGACGGTTAGTGTGTGAATTTCTGACCATAAGAACTAGTTTGTGTGGTGCAACCTGTTTTAGTGATCTGCTAATCTACACTTTGTAAACACATAACATTATAACCAGGCTAAGTTTGAAGTGATGAAGAGCTGGTGCAAAGAGCTCTTTATGGTCACTAAAGACAGTCATTAGTAAGATGTTTAAAGTTAATAAGACACAACATAAAATTGTTTACCCTCTCAAAATAATAATGAGCAATGATTACACATAGACACAAACACACATACACACCAAAATCTAGACAGAGGGTTTAATTACTTGTAAAAAATACATCTAAATCAGTGCCTCTGTTTAGCATAACATCAAAAGGATCTGTTAAAGGTAGAATTAACACAATCAGATCCTTTGAATGGACAAACTAAAACGGCATTCCCACTGAGTCAGCATTCATGAATGGCTATTTGGCTTGTGCATATATACCACTTCCTGCCACAGAGTGTTTGATAGTGTTGTCATGGTGATGAGCTTTACTTTGCTGCATGAGAGAAACCTGATATGTTGCCATGGCAAATGCATCATTTCATGGTGGATCTCCGTAGCAGCTGTGCTACAGATTAAAAGCTTGCAATTCTATTATATAAAGTAATAATGACTTCTTTGTATCTGTTCTTAATCTATCAGCGCAGGATTTGCAGTATTTACCTTCTGATTGTCTGGAGTCTCTCCTGGTGCAGTCGACGTCTGTGTAGCCACTCCCCTGTCGGATGGTCTCCACCTCACTCCAAAAGGAGTCCAGACAGAGTTTGTCGGGGTGCTGCTCCTGATCCTGGGCGGGAAGCGCGTGCGTGCTGTGTGCGTGTTCAGCGGCTGCCTGGTCCTGCGGGCTGGCCCAGGGCTCCACGCTCATCTCGGTGGGGCTGGGATCTCTGGTGCAGACATACACACACGTAAGGAAATCACACGCATGCATGCAAACAAACGAGCAGAAACACAGAGACACATACAAACACAGGAGGAATGGTGAAGAATGAGGTGCTCCGTGGAGGATGAATCAGCCAGGACAGTCCAGAGAGATGGAGAAACAAAAGGAGTGGGATGGAGGAAGGGCCGCAGTGAGGAGAGAGACGGCGAGAGCGGACACAAAGGGGGGTCTCTATTGTTCTTGCAAAATGTGGCCTGGAGGCAAAGTACCCTGTAGATCCACTAGATGTCACTGTAACAATGTGAATTCTGTTTTCATGAGGGTTACACCCCTCTATCAACTGAAACAGGCACATGAATTTAACACACTACCAGTGGAAGATGAAACATGCAATGAACAATAAAAAAAAAAAAGAAACTCATCTACATCTGCTCCCAGTTTCCTTTCCAAACACAAGCAGGGGAAATACAGTCTGCTTTTTCCTGTGTAGCACTCAACAACAGAGGATACTGTTCTCTAACAACAATGAGACACACTCAGCTGGCAGACAAGCTCGCACCCTCAAGCACTAAAATGTGACCTGGTGATCTCAGGCACAGGAAGTGGTCAGCTGACTCATTCAGTCGGTGTGCAGTTCGGTCACATTCTTGTAGTCAGCATATCTCAAGATACATACCGAATCACACTAGCCCATTTCTGAGGAATGGCAGATGGCTCATCGTGCCAGCATGATTAAAGAGAGAGAATGAAATGATAGCTCCTGATGTATCAGAGCCAAAATACCAATCATACTTTCAGCTGTGAATCGATGAGCTTATGTTCCTCGTTCAGTCAATGACCACATCAATTACAAGTCAGCTGAAGTCAGATCAGATCAGGTTTGTTCCAGATCAGTGTTTGGTGTGTTAAACCAGTTTCTCAAAGTGGGGTGGGGGTTTGAGTTTCAACAGATACTAGCAAGTATTAGCAAAAGAAAATAAAGAAACAGAATCTGATTTCTATGTTACGTCACATGCTACACCAGGGACTATTTCTCATACACAGACAAACTGAATTGTGAATGTGATGGTAATTGCCAACAGTTGGGTGAACCAAAACAGACTGGATCCTAAATCAAAACGCAGTTCTGACACTATCCCATAAAACTATAAGTACTTTTTTATCGCAGTAAAGCTCGTAAATGTTTAAATAAATGGGTCATGGTATTGTTTTACTGTTCTAAACCAGTAAGGTCACATTCCAACATACAGCGTAGTTGTATACTATGTAATGTGAGTGCCACTCAATCTAATCATGCCTGTCATTCGAGAAACTTGAAAGATTTCAGTGGTTTAAAAAAGAAAAGTCCTCCCTCAACATGACCATGAAATTACTTAACTAAATGAGTCATTGATTGCAATGTCAAAAAATTATGCACAGATCCAAAATAATGCATTGGTATCAGCAATGATGACATTACTAATTGGCCAGACAAGACAGATCTATCAATTATTTTTCCAATCAATCATTGAAGTGTTCTGTCAGAAAACAGTAGGAAAATCACTCCACAACTCTTGGAATTGCTGGTTTAGTCCAACCAGCAGACCACGACCCAAAGATATTCTACTAACAATAAAATAAATCAGAGATGAGCAAATCTTTACACAACCTTTATAACAGTGCAGTTAAAATTTGCACAAACCAAAAAAAAGAAGTTATATGACCATGACAGAACATGACCAAGAAAATATAGAATCCAGCATCTGATCAGAACATCAGTGAATACTCTGAGTTTGTGTAGGGAGTCAGTATTTGGATACCTTCCTAATACGAAATATGAACATAATAAAGACAGACAGTTGTCCAAAACCACAACATGTGCTCATACCCTGCCAATCATATGCATAAAATACATCAAGCCTCAGAGACAGCTGACTCAACAGTGTGCTCATGCTCAGCAGCCACTTTAAAGGCTACCACAACTCAAATTCACCTTGTTTTTCTCTCACAAATGGAGGTTTTTCTGCAAACTGTCATACAATCAAAACTTTAATCATATGTTTTAAATGTTAGGATAAATATCAAAATAGAGTCAACATCTAAAAAAGTTTGGGTAACCAAGACTCTGTGTCATAAAGTACACGAACCACAACTGCATGGTTTTGAATGACACGTTTATGTTATGATGTTGCAATTCACTCTGTCAGGTTATTTTCTGACTTTAAAACACATTGTACCATCCACACAACTTCTCTTCAAGAGCTGACAGCATTCAAGCTTTCATCAAAACGTTTTTGACTTTGGTCTTGCCAGTCCAGCTCAAATGCTACTGTCTCATCCCACATACCTGGCTTTTTTGTTGTGGGAGGATGGCTTCACGCGCTTGCCCATCACTGGGCTTCGGACAGGACGGAACCTGAAACGGTTCAATCTGGTGTGTGTGAACTGCATGTTGGACCCGGGCATGCTCCACACAACCTCCTCTCTGCCTCCCATATCCACCGTGCTAAAGGAATCCAGAAATTACAGTCCAGCACAAAACCCAGCTTTATCCAGTCTTGGTGGTTGAACACCATGTGAGTGCGATGTAAATCTGTCCGCTGCTCCGACAGGAAGGGACGTTGCAAGTCTTTACTGGGGCTCGGGGCTGTGTGGCGTGTTTGTGAGCTGAGTGGAGCTAGAGCTGGAATGCAAGAGGGAGTGACGAATCTCTGAACATCGGCACATCATTTACACCTGTCCCCTCCCTCGCCACTCTGAGGTGACACGCCCTGCCTGCATTCCTGATGGCCATCAACTTCCTCTCTGGTTCTAACAGGAATCTATTCCCTGCTACACTTCTCAAAACCCCACTTAAAAATACTTTGACTGAAACACAACAATGAAATTCCTTGTTTGTGTGTTGCTTAAGTCTAATGGGCATAAACAATGACGCCTCGAGCCACATGAGTAAAAGCTGACTAACTTCAGTGTCCACTCACATGTGCTCCTCAGGCACTTTGTTGTCCTCTTAGTGAAAGCCACACAACTCTACTTGAGCTAATTAATCAAGGATTCTTTGTTTGAAAGACGAGACATGTTATCGCCTCTTTGCTTTAATGTTAATGCACGAGTCCAGAAATAAATTAATCAAATGGATCAAAGGATAAAGATGTTTTCTTCTTACTCAAACTCTGTTGTTGAGCTTGCATTGCAAACAGGCAATCTCACATCAGCTATCACATACTTGTGATGTGACAGCCAGTGTGTTGGTGTCATGCCTTATATGCAAGAGACAGACACCTATTGCGCCATTCAAAAATATGCAACAAACATCCTAGTTCAACCTGAGCAGGACTAAACAGTTGATATAAATAACCATCAGGCGTGGAGATGATGTGTGGGTGTGTGTGTGTGTGTGGGTGTGTGTGTGTGAGCATGAAGCAGTGTGAGAGAAACCGATCAGAAAAAGTTTCTCAAGTGCAACAGGTCTGTCAACATTGCCTGTAAGCAGCACTCTAAGCCCCCAGCCCCTCAGCAAATCACTGCCTCATCTTCATTCTCTTTTGTCGAACTGATTACAACCAATATATCAGCTGAGGATGTAAACAGACAGAAGCAGACGCCTGGTGAGGTGAGGAGAAAAGTGAGAAAAACATGCCAGTGGTTTGACACACATGTAATTTTGGTGACAACAATTACTGTGCTATTTTCATACAGTCCTGCCTAAACACAGGTGTGTTTTTGATGTGTTTAATAAAAGCTACATGGAACAAGTTATGGAATGTATGTCCATGACAATTCAACTGAAACCTGTTGTGCAGCTTACAAGAGCCTAAACAGTTACCTCAATCTCTGCAGTTTGTCATATGACTCATCTTTCTATCTGAAAATATACCCAGTATAAAGATTTCAAAGTCTTGAGCTAGACTCATAACAACTGAAATCATGACTTCTCAAATGACCTGAAGCTAAAGCCATCAACTTCTGTATTAAATATCCTCAGAGGACAAATTATAAATAGGAATGTTTTTTCGCTGACTTTCTCTTGCCTCAAGAATCAAGAGGAAAAACAGCAGTCTTATTTTTAAACCTGCTAATAATACTCTTCACCAAAGCTCAACTACAAAACAAAGCAAATGCTCCATGCTACTCCATGCTAGACAATTAAAGAAAGGTTTACTGCAAATGTCAAGGTGTTGGGATTGTTTCTTGTTGAATGGACTTCCCATTAATGCAGAGAATCAACAGGAAAGTGTCCACTCTGAGAGAAGAATGGACAAAATGTCAAACGGTTGACTTATGTTTATACTCAGCACTAAGGGAAATAACACAAAGTAACCCTGACCAACAACTCAGGTCAAGGAATACAGTAATCCACTTGAAAAAGCTGCTTGTGTTGAAAGCAACACACTGTTAAATCCTCGTGGCTGAATTCCACTGCAAGCCTCTTAGCTTGCAGAGAATGCAACAGTTAGCTCATACAGCCATGAGAAAGTGCTTCTTCTCAAGGTCTGTCACAGCATGTAAGATCTGTCATGTGATATGGAAAATCCTAAACACAGTCACAAAAACAAGTAGTTCAAAACACAAAGAAGCACCAAACAGCAAAACAGAGATATTAAAAATTCAACAATTAGACCATAAAACTGTTGCACTAACTAACCAATAAAGACAGCTTCCCATCAAAGATTTCTCAGTCCATCTCAGTCAGTCAAGTTAGACTATGAATCATAGAAGAAGTGTTTAAACAATCCCTGCTTAGTTAAACAGTAGAGTAGCTTAATCCATACAAGAACCTCAAGCTCTAGCGGAGCCTGAGTCCACAGCAGCAGCAAAGGCCTGATCCTACCTGGCCTTGGCGCGCCCGCTGGCTCTGCCCGACAACAGCAGCAGGACCGCAGAGCCACTTCTTCCCCACGGCATCCTGCTGTTGTCCCCCCAATACTGCCGCGAGCTGTAGGAAACAGCAGCTGCCTGCCTCTGGCAAGCTGCTTCCTTGTAACCTCTTCAGTGCACAAACACATTAGGACAAGGACAATTTCAGTGCGCTGGCAGGCACGTCACTACATTGCATCCTGGGGCAGGAAAGGAGGTCTACATGGGGGGGCGGAGAGGGAGAGAAGCTGAGTGGTTGAATAGCTGACCAGGGCTGAGACACAGACAGAGAGAAGAGATTGTCTGAATCTGGTGGGATGGTCAGGGCTGGAGCTGGGAGTTGAATGGATGAGGGCAGACAGCTGCATGCCTGACTGTGCCTGAGTGACTGGACGGCTGGCTGGATGGTTTGACTAAGTGTTTGGATAAAGTTACTTAGGGCCTGTATCATTTCCCCCACTGGGACAAAGAAAAGTGGAAAACATCCTTTATCCTAGTGGCATCATGTTCACTCATTCATTTACTGGTTTACTCAAACCCAAATGCAAGAATCTGCAATGTTTCCTTTAACTTGACCTCTGGTCTTTAATCTGTACAGTTTTCGACTGTAACTGGAGTCATGATCCAGTCTACTGTCACTTATTTACAGCTTGGTTGAATATCAATGAATAGCAGCAAGGTGTTAGTTCGACAGGGAGGAATGAAAAAACAGTGGCTCTTGAACTTTGGATCAGGCCTACAGGAGAGAGGAACACAGGGGAGAGTGGATTGATGAGGTATAGGGCGGCACGAAAAACACACAATAAATACTCTGTCCTCTGTCTGTCTTCCCTTACATATGTTTGGGCATGACGTGGTTTAAAGCAAAATTCATATCTGACTTGCTATAATTCTGCCTCCGGATAATAAATGTGATTTGGGACCAGTCTGCGTCTGTTTCAAGAGCTGTACCAGGGTAAACACACTGTTAAGTAATTATGCTATGCATAGATAGAAACCAACTGCCAGTTGTCTTGCTGCAACTGTTGAAATGATGACTTTTAATTCCATGTTTTCTGCTGTCTGTTATTAACATTAAATCACTAACATTTATTGTAGTTATAACCTACTTAAAACTGCACTTTTAAATTTACTGTTGTAAGTATGCCTTTGTGTGCCTTAGGTAAAATGTATTAACCCACTTTTGTGCATGAAATGCTTTTTACAAAGAAATTAGTCTTGTGCTATCTTGCCTTTTTTGGCAACACTTGACAGACACTGTAAATGTGTGAGGAAAAATACTTTTGATATGCCATATGAAAGGGGAACTTTAACACCTAAGAAGACAGAGGCATAGTCCACTCTGCCCTGTGACTGTCCTGTTCTTTAGTTATACAAACTGTTACTTGGTGCGGAACAGATGCTGGCTTTATTATGACATTAAAATCAACCTCAAAGTAAAGATTTACTAAATTTGTCTCATTGTGAGAGAGAGCTTTGAGAGCTCAGTAGTAAGGATTGGACTTTGTACCACAGCAGTGTTAGGTAAGCTTTAAATACAAGGAAATCTATATAGTGTTTCTAGGAACATATGTGAGCTACATGATGTGATAATGTGACATCTCAGACTTTGTTCACAGCAAAAACCTTTTAAAACCACAAGGGCATTGAGCAAATTTGCTGCCCTTGCACACTGTGCTCTATACACACAGATGAAAAATTATGTGAATAGTATAGTAAGTGTTTATTTATTCTGTAGAATTGTAGGACTAATACTACTAATCCTCATTGAATTCCCACAATGGGTATCTTCATTAAGCCTACAAAAAATTTGGTCATGGATGAGGGTCGCCCACTGCTTTGACTTATGTATTTGTCACCAATGGCATGATTTTAAGTTTTTAGGAGGTACAGAGTGATATATGTTGTATATACTGTATGTGTGTGTGTTCAAAGTATATCCAACGTCCTTTGTGTGTTTGTACCCTGTGTCCACTTCATACTGTATGTAATACTGCACTTGCCCAGTGAAGCTTCCTCATTACAATTTACATAAGTGAAAACACACATGCCGACTTAATTTTACTTCCCACTGAAATGAAAATCACCTTTGTGCCTATCAGTCACTGTTGGAGTTAATCTTCTCAAAATTGTTCCTCCATAAAAATGCTCCCATTTCAAATTAAAAATTAGAAAAAGGATCGAGTCACACAGTGTATAACTAAATACGCAACCAATTAACATTTCCATTTGGTGTGGATAAAATCAAATTAGACCCCACTCTGTTGTACAGTATTTGGTGGTATCAGTATAGTCTATGCTTGTGTCTCAGCTTTTTGGCAGTTTTCCCAGTCACTTCTTAGACTCAGTTTGTCTCTAACCTGATCAACACAGATTAGGGAGAACTCAGGGATGCCTCTTGGGATTTTGCTTTCCGCACCAGCTCCCTCTGCTCACACTAACTTATTGTTTACTCCTCTTTTCTCCATTGTTTTAGACTAGCATGACAACCAGACCTCTCTGAGGTCTCCCATGTTGTGTGCATCCCTCTTATCTTGATTTACCTCCTTTGTAAAACCACGATAACTCCTCCCCTGAAACTGCTGGTAAAACCATACTCTTTGTATAATACTTTTTTCTTACAGTAAACTAAAGCCCCTCTTGCCCCATCCTTCTTCAAAATGTTCAAATGTTTCTTTCCTTTCTCTCAAATCACCTCTGACTGTCATTCTTGGCAAGACAAGCCCTTTCTCGCCTTCGCTCACAATCCTCCTTAGCTCACAGATATGCCTGAGGAAAAGAAGTGGAGAACGTGATGGTATGTCACTGTGTGACCCTGCAAATGTCATGTGACAGTTAGCTCAGCCACGTGCCGCACTCATCCACCTCTTGGCAAGCAGGGCACAGAGCCTGTGCAGAGGGGAGAGGAAGGGATGGGAGGACAGGAAAGTGGAGCAGGGTATACTAC